TATTTCAATAGCAGGCTGGAAAAATAATAAACAGACTGAGACAGAAACACCCAGGTTTTGCTCCCAAGCCATCCTTTACCTGGATGATGCTACTGGAAAAGTTTGATGAAGGAATGAACTGTTAATAAGCCTGGCTGTAACTGGGGAGGGGATTGCTCTGGAGCAGTCTGCTTATTCCCTTCTCTGCAGCCACAGCCACTGTCCCATGCAAAACCTGCAGCTACAGCTGCATTCTGCTGTTCCACAGAAGCTTCTGTTGGACCTTTTTCTCTCCTCGGGGTACAGGGAAGCTGCTGCTGCAGTATCTCAGTGCATTGCCCAAGATTTTCCTCAGGAAGTTCAGAGGCCTCTTTAAGCCTGACCCAGGGAAGGCCCCTGTTTTTTGCACACTGTTTATTTGCTCTCCCAGCTGTTGACTTTGCTGTCTGTTTTCCAACTTGGTACCTGGTGTCCCACAGGATGTTTAGCAGGCTTGAAACCTCATCTGGGCCTCCCAACCCCTCACTGGTTGCACAAGCAGAGATGCCCTTTGAGCACTCATGTTTCTTCTGGTCTGGTTCTTCCAGGACCCCTGATGCCCAAAGGAGGAAAGCACCATTCTGCAGCTTCCTGGAACACCCCAGAGGGTGACTGGACTGAGAACTGCCTGGAGCAGGTGCCTACATGGCCACCTCCTTTTGCATTTGGGAAGTCTCTCTAAAGGTAAACCCACATTTCAGCAGTGGCACTAAAAAAGGCCGATCTGGGCATCATCAGCCTCACAACAGTACAACAGATGATTAAAATAAAAAAGCTCAGCATCAGAGCATATTATTGCACTTCTGTTTTTACTTTTCCAGCCACCAAGCCATCTTTTAAATGGCTAATTGATCTTTAGTAATTTTGATAATTAATCTCCGATTAATACCATCCAGTGGCCTCTTCTCAGTTAGGATGCTGGCTGAAGTTCAAAAGTTATGCCCTGCCATACTCAAACCTGCCCATGGCACATTCAGGGTGAGGTTTTGCCATAAGGAACACCAAGCCCCAAACTGTGGCTCACTGGGGCAGTGTAGGCACGTGGTGGCCATTGCTGCCCACTGAGGATCCTTCCAACACAGGAGGAGCTTGTTCTGCACAAAATTTACCCAGAGCAGAACCTACTCCTCTGCCACGTGCCCACGGGTGCTGCAGGAAGGAGGACCTGCATCCCCTGCACTAGCCCAGCCCTGGCAGCTTTTCAGGCTGTGGCCAGCACAAACCAGGGCTCAGTGGGATGCAGCATGAAGAGAAGCTTTGCTGTGCCCCTGGTGAAAGAAGCAGAGGACCAGCCCCAGGCATGTACCTATCAGCAAAGGCACTGTGGGCCCATACACCCCATCCGTGGCTTCCTGCAGAGCTCCCGGCTGCCCCTGCAGCAGCCACAAGGCCTGGCCCTTCCCCGCAACAACCACCCACATTTCAGTTCCACTTCACACTTTCCTGAATAGGCACATGGACAGAGAAACCTTCTGACTTAAGCTTCCTCTTCCTCTCTAATATTAATGTTTTTACAATGCCACCTGTCATCACTGTGATGGTACAAAACAGATTTTGCTCCACCACACGGTGAAAATAACTTTCTACTTCCCTCTTTTCCATTCCCTATTTATTATTTAACACTCATCAGAAACCTCCTGGCACTGTATAGTGCTTGCTTGGTCCTGTGTCAAGATCCAAACCTCATCTGGTGGCCGAAGTAGAGCTGCCAATCTCTCAAATTTGGTATCTTACATCCCAAAGAAAGAGCATGATCAAGCACATCTGCAAGCGCCTCCTGCTACAATTGTACTATAACAGCCCAAACAAACAACCAAAAAGACTGTAAAAGGACCCAAAGCTCTAAAATCTCAACACAATCCACCCAAGTCTCCCTGGGAGGTGGCTACCTGCACTACCTGGCCAGTTACCACGATACCACCACATCAACAAAAGAGCAAATGAGATATTGATAATAAAAATAGAGCAAATACCTTCTGATCAATGGTTTCTGATAACACTATGAGTGAGGAAAAGACCATCAATGCAAGCAATGTTCTCTGCTCCATTTTGGAAAAAATAAATTTTCAAATGAAATCTCTATTTATCTTAATCAGTTAATGAGTAACTTGTACTTGGGGATATCATGTAGACTTTGAAGAGACACAGCAATTTAATATTTACCCATTAAACATAGGTAAAACTTGGACTCAGTTAATGCTTATTTTTCCAACAGATCTTTGCTCTTAAACATTAGAATTTTAATACATTTTAAATTTTTTAAAAATAATTTTTTAAGAAATTAATATTTTTTCATAAAACATAATTTAAAGAGATCTCTCTATATTTTTTAAAAATTAGATTTCACTGTGTCACGTGAAATGTCTCAGGCAGATGACTTGGTCTGTGCAACAAGCTGCAAGATTCTCTACCATATTCCACAGTAATAATTTGAAAGGGCACATCCTTAACATTATCACAAGCCCTTCAGAGATTTGAAGGTTGCCAGGACAGGCAACATTCACGTGACATATTACAGCTGATGGCTTTCTCAACCTTTGTGCCTCCCTGCCCAACAGGCCATGATCCTTGGTAGGTAATGCCATTCATTGTCATAAATTAACACAAAGATCCTGTGGAAATACAAGCATTTGTGTTCTCTTCATGCCTGTTTTACAAAGTGTCCATGTGGAGAGCAAGCTTCTAGTGGCCTCGGAGTTGCAAGCAGACACTAAAGCAGAGCTCAATAATTTATTACTTACCAGACATCTACAAGTTCACTACAAAGAATGTGCTAAGCACAGCCTGGTCTTACAAGGCTTGTGCTTTGAGTAACTCCTTTTAAAAATAAACTTTATTCCTCTCAGGCAGATTGTTTATACTACTTGCAAATACCATATTCTTTCTAGCAGGACATGTAAATATGTATATTTTAAATACAAAAAATTAAACTGTTATACATTTAATGAACTTGTACAATTCGTGTAATGCTTTAATCCCTTAAAATACACAGGATTAGACACTTAGTAGCCTAAGAGCTGCAAGAACCACAGCTTTAATTAAGTGGATCTGTCATGAGTTTTCTAATGCCCATGTGTAAAATCATGTGGATGTTAAAGAGCTGCTTTCACTGCACAGATTTAGGCTGCAGTATCAGCTCTGCACCTCACATTTTTTAGATGAGGTCCACATTAAAAGACAGGAAGACCAAAAAAAATGCCCAGTCCTTATTGTCACACTTGGAAGCAGCACAAGTAATTGAGCTTGACAGCATCCTGGAAATAGAGCTGTTTGCCAAATCCCACATTTCTGGTAGATACCTTACTTGGCTTCCCTGTAGAATCTGTGCAGGACACAAAGGTTTCTGTGCTTTATTAAATCAGTACCAATGTATCCAAAGCAGGGTGTGAAATACAGAACCCCCCTGTCGTGGTACCCTGCCTGCAAACCTGCACATCAGACACTTTTACCACAATAAAGAAAGTGACAACAACATTTTTGCCCCACTTGTCCCTCACGACCATTTCTACACCTATCAAACAACCTCCTTACAACTTCTCAACACATGTTAATTAAGGAGGGTTTGTTAAACCTAATGCAAAAGCAGCTCCAACAATATCAGGGCAGGAATTTTTTCCACCATGATTTTTTTCATGCTCTGGAAGGATCTTTCTTGGGAAAAAGCTCAGCCTGTGCTCCATGGAGAAATTGAGCCCGCTGAAGTGAGGAGGTGGGGTCTGGGCTACAAATAATAATTTTTTAAAGTGAAAAAACCAGGGCAAGGCAATGCACCAGCAGTATCTTTAAGGAGGCTTTCCCCTAAAATACAAAGGATTTGCTGCTGCTTTATGTGAGCTCCTCTCCACAGCCTCTCTGGGATCTGTATGGGCATTGTCACATTTTATCTGTCAAGTGTTTGGGACACAAAAGCCAAATATGATATATTTCATGGTGTACAGAGAAATTTGGCATCACTTTTACCTCTTAATCAGGTCTAGCCTGTGTAAAATAAGTGTAATTTCTTTAACAAAGGTGGCATCTGCCTTACCATCCCCAGATGTGTTGCAGAGACTCAGAGTGTGTGGGAAGCATGACAGGTGCCCACAGAGGTTCCTCTGTGTTTCAGCACAAATATCCAGCTGAGGGGAAACATTCTGGGGTTTGGGAGAAAACAGCTTTGATGTTTAATGCAGCAAATCAAGAAGTAAACAGCACTGAAAAAACCAACTCCCCCTCAGAGTGTGCCGGTGTTGTATAGAGACACTCGCTGGGTTCTCATCTCTGTGGTGAGGCAGGACATGGCGGCTGTGTCTGGCACCTCACTTCTCACTCGATCCAGTGGGACAGGAGGAAAAAACCATTGGGGTACGAGGTGAAATCCCTTCCCTCGGTGCTGGGGCACCCTGAGAGCCGGGCCTCTGCCCTCGCAGCTGAGCTGCGTGAAGGGAAAACATGGCATTGCTGCCCTGAAGGGTGTGAGGGGAGAGATGTGAGGAGGAACTGTGAAGGGGGAAGTGTGAAAGGCGGAGCCATGAGGGAGAAACGGTGAGGGAAAACCGTGAGGGAAAACCGTGAGGGAAAACCCTGAGGGGAAACCGTGAGGGGGAAACCGTGGGGGGAAACCGTGAGGGGAGAGCCGTGAGGGGGAAGCCATGAGGGGTAAGCCGTGAGGGGGAAGACGTGAGGGGAGAGCCGTGAGGCGGAGCTGTGAGGGGAGAAGCCACCACCCTGTGCCATGCCGCCACCCTGAGGGCCCTCGCCGAGGTGCCACTGTAGGCAACATAAATCTGGGTGAAATCTCCAGCTTTCTGTGCTGCTCCTTTGATCAGCTCCTCCTCAGCTTCCTCCTGGTGAGGACATGTTGTGATGAAATTGCACTGACACTTAGACTGTGTCATCAGGGTGTTTTTTCTTTGCATTTGATAGACAAAATCATCGCATGTAGTGCCCAAGTGCCCACAGAATTAATCTAAACCCAAACTGAAATGAGTCACCACAATATGCCAAGTTGAGTCCAACAACCTTTTTTTATTAAACAATTATAGCAAACATTGTCCAACACATAGAAAGAAAGCATGTAATAAAAATTAACATGGAAGTTTTACTCTTTGACATGAGTATATTCCTTGCTTAAGGACTTACAGTGGAAATTAGCTACTCGACTCTACAGTGACTTTCGTGTAAGGAATAGAAATTTTTTAAAATGTTACAACAATCATTTGGGTGAGACATGTCCAGCTCCACTGTCAGCCAAAAACGCTCTTGGCTGGCTCATTCTTCGGTTTCTCAAAGACTGTTTCACCTCCTGTCCGAGCCCGGCTGAATACAGAAGGTGCTGCAGAGCCCATTTGTTCTTGGAAAAGAAAACCAGGAGAGACAATCAGTGAAATACCACCCAAATCCAGGGACTAAAACTATTCCTGCTAAAATACACATATACACATTTGATAAATACTTCATTTTTCCATCAGATGAACAGCAAGCTGCTGTTCCAGAGGTGACCCTTTCACTTGAAAAGGGCAATTAAGTCAATATTTTACTCTGCTAATTGCTTCCAATGAGGCTTACCACACTGCCTCATCACTTGGTAAGTTTTGGATTTAATTTCCTGGTTTTTGGCAAGGTTTCCTCTGGCTCCTTTGAGGTCTTCTTCCTTCACTGGAGGACGCTTCTTTTTCACAGGGGCTGGCTAAGAAACAGACCCACATATCAGTATTTTGTGTTCCAAGCACAGGGAACAAAGCTGCCTCCACCCATAGACTACAACATACAGAGTTGCTAACAGAATATTTCACCTATTTCAGTTCTGAGATTACATACTTAGCTACTTCAGATCTTCCCATAATCATAATTTCACTGCCCGCCCCAAAATCTGCTACCATTCTCACTGTTCTGAAATTGTCTTTTTATTTGGAGCCTTTGAAAGAGCAATGACTGCTTAATTAAAAAACAAAACAAAAAACCTTAGATTTTCTCCGTCTGGCCCTGCCTGCTCATTCTGCAAGTACTCATTGGTAATTCAAGGACCTGTCCAATATTTGGAAAGGAAAAATCATTATATTATTAAATTGGGCTTGTGCCTCATTCTACTAACTACTTCTTTGGGAGACTGGTCAGAGAGATTCCAAATCTGGACTTGCCTTAAATTGGAATATACACTTGACCCAGCTAATAATCTTAAATTTAAGGAACAAAAGCATTTGAGCACTCAACAGGGCTCTCTACTGAACACATCTGAAACACTGGACTTGGAACCCAAAGAAGGAGAAGGAAACCTAATACAGAAGCAGATGCATCATCAGGTGGTGCACTACAACAGCCAAGCACTAATCTGTTTACAGATTATCCCACTACAAGGAAATAGGGATAACATTGCTTCATATGAGCCTATCCCTGTCCTTAAATTAGCACTCCACAGTCAGACACAATCTCACTCTGCAGCAGCCAACACCAGAAGCATTCCCCTGTCAGTTTATTATTTCATGGACAGATTTTCAATGTCCCACCAGGCATGATTCATGTCCCCTCATGGCAAGATTCAGGGGCACAGGGATATGATTAAGAGGAACAGAAGACACCCACAGTCCAGCTCTAATAGATTTACATACTGAAAGATCAACAAGAAACTTCTCTGACGATTGCTACACACACAGGGCTTCTGATATTTGGGTTCTGGCAGTGGTGGAGCCCACACAGGCACTTCCAGGCACTGCCTGTGAGGCTAAAAACAGTTGTGGAGGGAAACAAATCCCTCAAGGCCTACAAATGGCTGGAGCAGTGAGTCCCAGGGAGCTTGCAGAGACAGCGCATGCATGGCTGGCTGTTGGATGGTGGGCTGGCTCCACTGGAGCCTTCAGCATGTTTTCTGCCTGCTGCAAATTCCTGGGAATGCTCAGAATAGCTCACTGTCAATCTCACTTCTACATGTTGTGGGAAACAAAACATTTATGAGATCTCCAGGGAAAACACTCATGAGTAGCCAGAGCAAGCAAGGGGAAAGGGTGGCAGCAAACCCTTTGAAAGTCACAACAGCTTGTGCATGGTTGTTCAGCTGGTGAACCAAATGTCCCCACAGCCAGGGAGTCACCTGTCCTTCTGTAATGACAACTGGCATGTGATGGGAACAGTCCCTCATGCCCATGGCACTGTCCACAGGCAACCAACTCAGGAAGGGAAAAAGCCCTTGCTTTATTAAGAGAAATGTGAAATCTGCAAAGGTCCTTCATCCATTACTGGCAACAGACAGTAACTGTGAGGCTTCTTCCCACTGGGACAAGGGAATTCTTGGGGACTAAGTGAAGAAAGGTGGCACTTGAGATGCACAGTTAGAGCCAGGCTGAGCAGAGATCTTGAATTTCACCCAGTTATTTTAAAATAAATCATCTCAAGCTTTGATCACAGAGGGTTTTCCAGCAGGACAGTTGCTGTGGATTAGTTGGTTCCAGCTGAAGAGCAAAGCTGGTGCACAGAGAGGTTACGGTGAGCCTTGGCCAGCAGCTGCTGCTGTCACAGCCCCACCACAGCTAATCGCTGCCAGAATTTGTGAGCAGGGTTTGCCAGGAGCCGTTCCTAGCTGGCACAGGCGTGCAGCCTGTGCTTTATCTCCTCCTGTCACAAGTCAGAAAGTGCTACTTTACAGGACATACGACTGGGTTTTAAGTCCCATTTTCTCTGGAGTAAAGACAATCAATTGAACTGAGTTACTCTCTGTGGCTGAAGAACTGTGCTGTCCTACTCTCTCTGTGCTCCTACTCTCTACCCACCAATCTTGTAAAACTGCCTTGCTGCGGAGAGCTCTCTGCCAGACACATGCAGCTTGTGTTGCAAATGTAACATTTACCTGAAACCTCACCACTTCTGAGCTCATTTCAAGAGCACTTTGAAACACTGATTATTGGGGAATACGTTAAAGACAAACCATTAGTTACAACATGAATATAAAAGTAATATAAAATATAAAATCTATTATACAAAATTTCAGTCTCAAATATCTTATCCTAACAGTTAATTTTCAGTCACACTCTTTTCTCCTGCATGTTAATACACTAAGCTCTACATAGTGACATTTCAGCCCAGCCACCTCTTTTCAAAACAGAATTTCAGAATCCCCATCTGAGAGAGTGTGTTGGACAGGTAGAGATTCCTCTTTCTGTGAAACATCCAGAAGCAGAGCAGGGGAAAGGATTTTTTCCCTTTCTATGCAAATAAAAATATTTAAGGTAAACCAAAACATTTTAAAGTGAAATTAATTAACCATGTAGAGAGCAGCTGCTTTCCTTCTTCACCATATAACCATCCTAAGAATGTACTCGCTAAAATACTTTAATCACACGAGTCACAGAGCAGAAGAGCTGAATTCAGTAGTTAACGAGAGGAACTCGCTAATAAGCTTTTCCTAGCGAAGCATCCAGGCCAGTACCAGGTTTTCCAGGCGCTGCTCCGAGGGCAGGCAGCGCACAGATGTCCCCGTACCTGTGACATAACTGCGGTGCTCCCTCGCTGAAATCCCTCTCAGGTCGTTCCCGACTTTGATTAAATCCAGCCCGCGAGCTCTGCGAGCGCCTGTTGTTTTCCTGGACTTATATAGAGCATCCGAGTGAAGTCACGGGCTGGGTCATGTTCCCAAAGCAGCGCCGGGATGATTCAGGTCGAGGGAGGCTGTTGTTGTCGGAGGTTTATTCCTGGCGATGACTCGGCCGTGCAGCATTCACCGGGCTGGGCTGACGGGGGCAGGCAGCTGCGGCAGCGGGGAAGCCTGGTCCCCACAACAGCGCTTCCCGGGGAGTCCGCTGGGGCTCTATTTATAGCTTTAAAAGGCAAAATGTTGTTATGGGCACAAAATTGAACCCTCTTGGGGGAGGGGGGGAGGGGGAAAAAACCAAGAGTGGGCATCGCTTTCCCAGCATAACAAAATATGTGTTCTCTCAAGATAATATAAATCTAATGTCCAAAGTGTAACTGTGCCCTTAATCACTTTTGCACAGGGATCTTTAACAGAAGAGTATTTTGTGTCTTTTGGAGAGTTAATGAAGCAGGGTATGGTTTTACCCTTACAGCTCTATCACTGATCATGCTCCGGTGCCAGCTGTTACACAATTGGGAGAGTAAAATCTCTTTCTACTTTCCAGCACTATTAGCAAGTTTAACCATTTCACCCACATCTGTACAGGAACAGCTTACTCAGGTATGGATAAACACAATGCTTCCCACCGCACTTGCTGGCAGCAGTAAAACCTTTCCCAGAACTTTTAAAATTTGTTCTCTAAACAATTTTTTAAGTAAAGCCCTGCCACCTCTAAGCATAAATTCTATTTTTCATTACTGGGAGAGGTTTGAATGAGAGATTGTTTCCCTTTTATTTTTTTACATTAAATCCTTACATCATGGAAAAAAAAATAACTAAAAATAAAACATAAATAAAATAACTAAAATTAACATAAATTAAAAAAATCAGCTTCTGCAACTGCACTCAACACCTGCAAAGAATCAAGGCTCCAGCCAGGTGGGTTAATGTGAGAAAGGCAGGAATGGCAGACCTCCAACACCTTCCACTGGAGAGATCAACTGTTTTAAGGGTAGAAATCTGCCCTGGCCTCAGACCCTCGGAACCCTCAGGCTCTGTCAGTGCTTTTAGGGTACAGAGAAGCACAAGAGATCACAAAAGATTTGTTTTTCACTATGAAAACATGACATCAAACCACAGCTCCAGTGCTGTATGAGCAGGGCTATGGCATCTGTTGGCTGTGAACTACTCTCCAGGCCTCCCAGTGCCCAAACTGCCTTTAAGCTGAACTATTTCCAGGCCTGAGATCCTCTCCTTTATTGGGGCAATTATTTGTAGGCTAAGAAGCAGTTTGGATGTTACGTCCTTAGCTATTCCTTAGGTTGATTTTCTATTTTAAACCCAAGTCTTAGTAACCAGAGGAAGCATTTCTGCAGAGCAGCAGTGCCCTTAGTAGGCCAACAAAGCAGAAGAATAGAACATTGACTTCAGGAAAAAAAATTTTTTTTTTTCTACTGTACAAAGTAACAGTTCTCTAAGATGTTTCTCTGCAGTCCCACAAACATCACTATTCTATCTGACAGGAAAATAACATTCTGCGTGTTTAAAGCAAATATTTATAATTCAAGACACTGAACTATCACTTTCCCTTCAGCTTTCAAAATTGCTTCAGTTAATTGGTACTACATATTCCTCACTCAAAAGCAACAGAGTTCTGCTTTCATAGCAATTTAATTTACACAAACAAAATCAAACCACTCAAATGTTGCTTGCCATTTAGGGCAGGTGAAGTGCTTAGAGAGGCAGGCAGCACATCCTGAGGTTTCTAGAACATCCCCAAAGCCTGGAGAATTCTATTCTCTTCAATTACATTTCCTAAACCAGCACTCAACAAGGGGCAGGGCATAATCATTTCCTTGCACAGATTATGGGCTATTTTTCCTCACAAGGAGCCCAGCCTAAATCTACAGTTACTTATATTTTAGAATAGAAATCCTGTTCACCTGGTTGAAGTTCTTGATATCTGTTAAATGGGACATGAATGTAACAGTGGCTATTAACGATACAAGTTTTAATCTTCCACTGCAATAGGAATTGTGGAAAACTCCTTAGCTGGAGGAAAGATTCCAACTGAAATATGGTAATGACCATGGAGAATGTAGTGAATGTCCCCATGGCTGCCACTGTGGTCTCCAAATCTCAGGGAAGATTTGACTTCCCCTCCAGGAAAGTGCTAACAACCCCTCAAGGGACTGACTCCCTTGAATTCCCTGTAAAGGTGCACTGGGTATGGGGCTGCTTGGATGAGGTAGGTGGAAAGTATGAAATTAACAGGAAAATATTACAGAGGAGTTACAGAGGCAGGATTGGGTCCATCCTGTGCAGCTCCAGCTGTGAAAAAAACCTTCCTCAGGGTGAGGATCTGAGAGGAGCCTGCAAGGATTCTTAAACTTGTAAACAAAATTTGCAACTCAAGAACAGTGGCTCTTCCTGATCAAATGGGACTTGCCATTAAGGTAAATGAATATAGTCAAATCAAAATCACCATAACAGTGCATACAGTTAGAGCTGAAGTTAAAATCAAGTAGCAGAACCTGCTTCCCACAAGAGCACACCATAAACACTGAAACACAGACACTTTGAAAGAGAACAAGCATAAAACAAGTGTACAAATCTGTAATAAGTCAAACTTTATTGTAAACCATTATACAATGTAATTACATCAGATACCCTTAAAAGTTTAAGGTAACACCACTGATTAAACAACATGGTCCAGAGGGCAGCAGAATACAGCTGTTGGTTTTGCTCACGTTGGCTATACTCTGAATTTACTTACAAACAAACCCCACATTCAGTTTGAGACGGATACCCACACAAGACAAAAACACCTACAAAAGAGTCCCTTTTTTAAAGATACTGCAGTTTTACTTTGTAAAACCATAGTAGTCATTTTCAGTAATTGAACTGGAAACGTCACCTTAAAAAGTTTGCACGCCTATGCTGTAGATGTACTCTGACTTGGTGTGGCTGAATTTATTCGCTTTCACTACTGGTTTCTCCTGTAAAAAGCACAGCAAAGTTGCAAACGCGGGTTAGTCAAGCACAGTGGCAGAGATTCCTTGTGATGCTCAGCTCTGAGCAGAGCGGGAGAGCCCAGGCCCCCCTCCCCAGGCTCGGCAGGGATGGGAGCACACACCTGCCCGAGGGGATCACTTTGCATTGCTCTAATTTGCAACTCAGTTTCTGAGTTTTCCCTGAAGAAAAGCTATAGTACATTTTAGTTAGCAACATTAACAGACAGCATTCACCTACTTAAAGTAAGACAAGGGGACCTGAACATACTGGAGCTAGAACTTGGAAACCACATATTAGACAACACCATTGTTTGAAGATTATGCAGATGTTCACAGGTTGGATATTAGGAACAGTTAATGCATTTAGGTTGACCGCTCGTGGTAAATTCCATCTCCACCAATATTTCTGTGCCTCTTCTCTAAGTTATAATCCCTTTCTCTTACTTTGGCATTCACTACATAGCTTATTTTCATTAAACAGAATCCTATTTTCTGAGCACAGCCTGAATTAAACCTTTGCCATGAGCTGTCCTGAAGCACATTTGTCAGGCAGAAATCTGAGTGACAACTGGAGGATAATGCAAACGTGATGTTGCAGTATCACTACTGGATCAACTCTTTATGAAAAGTCCATTTCAGACTGTACTGCCAATACATTTTAATAAGTGGTAAGACATAGTGAAGCACTAAGCACACACTCTCCCTTCTCACACATTCAAACCTGTCAGACAAAAGGACTTGTCCTACTCATATTTACTGCAAGAATTCAAATCTTTACCTTACAGAGAGGAAAACTTACACTTTTACATTTTCCATCTCTTTCACAATGATAACAAAGAATGTGTAGAAAAAACAGCCAGATTTTGTTATTTAGCTAAAATTCTGAATAAAATTATTGTCTTAGTAGAGAAAGTAATTTTTTCCCCTCTGAAGGTTACTCCTCCTGTTACTACTGTGGTATTTAAAATACTTCTGTGTCTTTGGATCACAGTGCTTTACTACATCATCTTGCTAGGCATATCTAGATCTCACATCAAGTGACATTTAAGCACTTAAGACATGAAAAATTAGGCATTCAGAACCTTTGCTACAACCTCCTTTGAGAAACAGCTCCGCAGTGCTTTATACTGTTTTGTACGTGGTCAATAAGCTTGAGGTCTGCTCAAAACAAATATTTTCACATGATTAAGGCCATAATTTCATACTGACACTTCACAGACTAAACATGAGACTAGAATCATTTCGGTCATTGAAGTAACTGGAGGAGGGAAGAGGAAGATAAGATGCAAGCTCATAGGGTTAAATTTGTGTGCGCTGCTCAATTATCTCAGCTGGCGAGGACAGCCATGGCTCTGCACTGGGATGTAGCACATGGTCAGTAGCTTTAGTTCACTATCTGAAATAGAACAAATCCTATGCTAAAAAAAGAAATGCTGATGATTGTGACAAGAGCCAGTCCCAACTATTAAATCCCTTTGGAAAAGTGAGCTGTAGGAGACTATTCTGTTGATGAATTCCTTGAAGTACTGTGCTTTTGGAGATCTGCACCTGCTCAGTGGTCAATAGTCAAGAGAAGATGTGAGTCACACAATCAATAAAAAAACCCCAAACCCCCCAAACCAGAGGCAACACTGATTAGGGACATTTCCCCATCCCCACCCCCATGTCAAAAGCACTCAGGTAAGCTTCCACTGTCATTAGTTTCTAGATTTAGTCTAAAGGAAACACAAGTACTGTAACTTATTGCAGTTCTTACATTTCAGTGCACAGTAACAAAGGTCAGCAGCTCAGCTAAAACCTCGGGTTTGGTAAATGTCCCTTTGAGCTGGCTGGACACCCTCAGGTGTCACAGAGCATCGTGTCCCCTCGGCAGCCACTGGGAAAAGGGATGCTGGAATAGTGAAGTAAGCACGGGAGCGCACAGTTCAGTATTTACTAAGGCCCAGTTAAGTGGTCTGGATAATAAATCACATTAAGACCTAGCAAATCTATTAAAAAATGTAAAAAATCTTAAAAAGTTCTGAGCAGTTTTCCAATGAAACTGATTTAAGGCTTGGAATTTTTCTGGTGTCCAGATACTACAACAGATTTGCATTTAAGGTCTGTTGTCACCTCTTTGACACATTGCCTTGTCCTGCACAAGGTTTACTAAGCAAGGAAAGCTGTCAGAAACAATCATTTAGAAAATATGCAAAGCAAAAGGATGTCACTGAAAACATGTCTGCTAGGTTTCAGATCACCATGTGTTCTCAGTTATCAGAGATTATTATTCTATCTCAATTAGAAGAGACACTGAAAATCCCAGAAATGTTGTGGTAACAACTGCACTGTACCCCTTGGGGCTGTTCTTTTACTACTGAAGGATAATGAGACTTTATGGAAATTAAATAGGAGAAATTTTTTTGTTGCTGCTGTTAAGCCCATTAAGTAGAAGATTGCTTTTCCAACAAAGAACAAGGGATAGAAATGTATTTGCAATATTGTAGCACAACTGCTTCAAACAGATCGCAGTCCTGTACTGCAGGCCTTATAACAGGAAAAGTACCAGAAATGTTCCATCTCTTTTGGATAATTTGAGAGGTATGCACAAGAGACTTGCAGAAACAGAAATAATAAGTCATCCATAGATATTAATTTCACAAATAATTTATCACAACAGATTTTTGTTATACACTAAAGTGCACCTTTGTCAAATATGCAAACACCACCTCTTATTGAAAAAGATATTTTCAGATTATGTGGTCAAAAGTACACATAGGACTGCATTTTTTAGTGATATTTGGTGACTTCAGCAGTGACAGAGAGCTGTTCCCTTTGCAATCCCTTTGTCTTAAATCAGGAGACAGGATAAATAAAATTTTCACTACAAATCTTTTAACCTGTTTTGCACAAAAAAGGGAACTGTACCCTTTTCTCTGATAAAGAGAATCTTTAAATACAACTGTATGAAAATATAACTTAAATATAAAATAGTCAGATAGATTTGAGAAGACTTGGAAAAAAATCTTTGTTCCACCTATTAGTTCCATAGGTACCCGGTAGCAAGTAAACTTCTGTACTTAAAAAAATAATGTTAAGTTACAGCTTGTAACCATAAACTATTCTGCTCTAGGAATTATGCTGCAAAAGCCAGTTTTAGTAATAAAACACAGTCCTTTAACATAGTCAACTCTGCTGCCTTTTTGAGAACTCTTTACACTGTCCCATCAGTAACTGAAAGTGAAAGATTCTGTATCTGTTCTCTCTGATCTTCTCTGACACCTCCCACTCGATGAGGAGACATTCTTGCATAATTGGTCAGTGTGTTTGTAGTGCAACTGAACTGGAAGTCTTCCAACTGCTTTGCCTTCTGTTGGTAGACCTTGCTTCTAAGTCACTTTGTATGAAACAGGTCCTCCTCAGCGTCCGACTCCTCCATCTCATCATCTGCTGAAATAAGGATCTAAAAACAAATTACAGCTTCTGAGCACATGGAGCAGACACACTCCTTTCTACTTTTAAACTTCTACTCTTTTTTATCCTTGCAAAGCACATTATTATTTGCTCAGGAAAGAGCTTACAGGACAACTAGGAATTACTGCCACACTATCAAACATCATTGTAGATCCTATCAGAAACCTCCAGTAGATTTTGAAGAAGGATGGATGCATTTTAATCTCACTACAGCCACTGACTCTGAAGCCAAAGAGTGATGCCTGAACAGTGGAGGCAGCTTGAGAGAATTTTTAAGGTCTTGATCCACACTGGTTCAAGTTCACACACAAGGCAGTAACATTACCTGGCAAACCCCATATAAATAGCACTGTTTATCATACAGAAAAGTCACATTAACTTACTAAAGCTAAACCAACTCACCTTCAGAGAAATCACCCAGCTTTCAGCTGAACTAAAAACTGCTCACTTAATATAATTTAAAATAATGTTATGCTAAGGCAACTATGTAAATAATTCTCGAAAATCAGGTCAGTTGCCTCCACCAGCTCCCTCTTACTTTAAGCTATTAACTTCTCTTTGAATTAGAGATTGTCTATTAATTGTCTATTAGCTTTGTATTCCCTGTGAGGTTTTTTAAAGAAGCACTTGCAGCACAGCTCACCTATGGTATTTACATATATTATTGTGTCTTCCTGCCTATCTGGAAGGAAATTAACTGCCAGAGTAGTACAATGACTTTTTCCTTAACTGGTTCTCAACTGCCAATGCTAGGAGTTACTGCTAGAGGTCCACGCTCAGAAAATCAAACCTAAGTTGACAGTGCAACAATGAAATCAGTACTGGGAGGGATGAACTGGATTGATATTGCATTAATTGCAATAATTAACTCTACATACTTCTGACTCTGACTCCTCATGTGATGCTGCTCTCCTGTATCGGACTTTACTTCCATTTCTTGAATCTTGTCCCGCTTCCTTTTCTTCAAGTTTAGCTTTTGTCTTCCCTTTCTTCATAAGGAAATTATCTACTACCCAGAACATCAGCGCCTGTTAAAAAGAAGGGGAAAGTGATAGTTCAGCTTTCTTCAGAGTAGAAGAAAGGTCCAACTACTCAAGATCAAATGAACTTGACAATAATTCTGAACTGGCCGAAAGCTAAATCTTGTCTAGGCACAGTGTCACATAGCTTTTTACACCTTTCAGGAATGCTCTAGAACCCAGATACTTTATACTTTGTGGAAGAGAAGAAAATAAGAAAAGTAGTGACTATGCACAGTGATCGTAGATTAACTCTTCATGTAGCAAGCCTTTACCAGCAGCTATTACATGCAAGGACACCCACTGCCTCTGGCTCTAATCCCTAAATCCCAGATAGCTGCAAGAGTGTACTTTGGGAAGGATGACTGCACACTTGCCCTTTTCCTCTGCTCCACCACAGGCCAGCCACTATTAGCTATGGTCAGACACAGGATACTTCACAGGACGTCTGTCCTTAGACCAACTGCTTCCTGAAGCAAATTTCACTAATTTTATAATCTCTATCTCAGTCAATCTACTGAAGTCATCAGGCCAAAGGAGTCTATGAAGCATTTCTGCCCCTGTCCTGAACCTGGTTCTTTAGCTCCCTATGGATTTCAGCTTTGTAAAATCTACATATCCAGACAATTTACCCATTCTTTAGCAGTCCTTAACTCAAGCACCAAGGTACACTGTGTTTTAAGGACTAATGTTAATTAATGAACACATGGCAGAAGGATATCCAAGTAAACATCTCATAAAGTGGGTTATACTAACGTTAACAAAGAAGGGAACTATCAGCATGACGATTGCCAGCTCCAGCTGGGGGTTCTCTATGGGATTCAATAAAGCCACCTGTGGAAAGAAAAGGATTGAGTTCAGCTCGTACATGCACACAACTGGCTTAGGCAGGGCAATGTTCATGTACAAGCTAATGTAACAGAAATAATGCAGGTGAACCAAAAAAGGGCAGCTTTGAGAAAAGCAAAGTATTTAGGACAGCTCATAAATTGCTACAGATAAGTAAGTGGAGCTAACAAGAAACTTATCTCTGTCATTTTTGTTTACAGAAGTCTGAGGAGCTGCCTTAGAATCATCTTGAACATTTTAGAGCTGCTCCCAAGGAACATGCTGTAGATTCCATCTTTAGGAAATTTAAACAGCAGATTTTTACAAAACACACAGAAGAGAGTTCTCAAAGTAGTCCAGAGCATACAATAGAGCTAACTGGTTTTAATGGGCAGTAACAGCACCACTTTGAGTATCTGGTTGCACAGAGTCCATCAAAACAAAGATTAATTCAGTCAGCATTAGTAGATTCACTAATGCACCACAAATTTCAAAAAGTCTACAGTTAAAACCTACCAACAAGGTCAGGCAAAGAAAATTCTTTAAAATCCTGCAAGAATACAAAATAGCTGTAGGCAAGAATTAGAGTTAAGAAAAGAAAGAACCACTTAGTAGTTTCAAGGGTACTTTAGACAAGGAGATAGAATTAAATTTTGGATATTTCAGGTTACAAAACAACCCTCAAAATACGATACGATATTCCTGGCACTGGATAAAGGTCTCATTAGCAGCATCCCAATTAAACTAAAAGAACATACCACTACCACAGAGTTAATTGGCAATGAGTGTAGACAATCATGATGCTTGAGCCAAACCAATAAACACTGCTGGAAGTCTTTTTACAGCTTCCACCTAAAATTCACTTGTCTGTAAAATGCTGCAAAAACACAAACCTCTTTCCACTGAGGTATAAGCAGCACTATGATGATGATGGTTTTCTCAAATGTCATAATCATTATGTACAGAGCACACTGGCCCATCCAAGCACTGCACTGCAGGGGGTCACCTGCAAGAAAGAAGAAAGATTCGACATATGCATAGGTTTGATTTACTTTGTAGTAACCATCTTAAAAAAGCAATATTAGAAGAGGCAGCAGGGCAGCTAAATCCTCCAGAAGTGCCTTCTCCAATTCCTTTAGTGCTGCTCCTTCCCCTCCCTCTGCCTCACTCCAACTTTCAGAAAGTATCAGAGACTGAATCTAACAGGACTTGGTCCCATTCAGCAGTACCTGTGATAAACTCACACTGTTTCACATAATCTGATGAAAGCAAGACAGATAAACTTTCATTGTGTTTCTCCTCGCATTGTTAATTTTGATCCTCTATCATGACATATTAAGTGTCTTAATGGGAAAAATTTAAGGGAAACATGGCTGGGGAAAACACATTTCCCTTCAGTCTAAGTAGAACTTAGATTTCCACCATTGTCCCTAGGCTACCTTAAGCATATTTCTCCTCTCTACTAAGCTAGTTACGGTAAGTAACCATTTGAAGCAACCGGTGCAAGAGCTGCTAAGAAAAATTTAACTGAATAAAAAATTAGGATCATATTTTAGCTCCAGTGTGAAAGAGTTTGAAATTCTGCTGCATCTTGAGGGCAGACTGAGAACCTGAGCGCATGAAGTTATCTGCCAGGACAGAAAGCAGACCACAAATATTTGAACAGGAACACTTATGTGCACTATTAGATGCTTTGAAAGAAGGTAGAGGAAGAAAAAGAAGACAAAAAAGGGGAAGAAGGATTGGTAAGCTTAGCAAGCTTTGCAGGTGAGCTTGAAGCTGCACTTCACTCGAAAACAAAAGCAAGTTTTCCCTCTGGAGGGGGTGACAGATCTTTAGTCTTTGCAGCAGCCTCTGCAATCTCTTCAAAGGCAGCTCTGAACACTTGGCCTGGGATGAATAATGGGCAATGGAAAATCAGATGCCTTTATGTGTTTGTAATGCGTAATGGACAGTTGCTGCTTCCTTTTCTGGAACACTCCTGAAAGGCTTTCAGTATTAATACTTGGTAATAGTCTGAGACTTAGTGTTTGCTGCTGAAATGCTCCACAGAGAAACTGATAAATCAGACAGGTGTCCAAAACAACAAATACTTCCTAACCCAAGTTTTACAGGATGAGTTAGTGATCAACACTCAACAGTTTGAGAGGAAAGCAATTAAAATGCTTGAGTTTTACAATTACATACTGCAGTTACAGCTTCTCTTGTAAAAACCCAAAGAGCTGGAAATTTGAAAGGGAAAAATCAATAAGTCAAAGTTGAGCAACTGTGATTCTTCTGAAGATACAAGGCCTGAATTAGGTTTGAGAATTAAATCTTAGCAATTAATTTCTATACTCCCTATTTTTATTAGCATTCTCTAGTTTTTCTCACTAATTAGAAAATATTAAAAAATAATCTAGCTTTAGCTACAGCCTTGCTATTGAGACAAACAGTTCATTCTAATCTGTTTTCCAATCTTTATTTAATCCCTAAAAGCAAAGACAGTGAAAACAGCTTTGCATCTTTTGCAGCTCTCAGGAGATTTTGTACATCCAAAAACTGTGGAATTCTGCATTAAGTGTTGTGCACTCTCAGTAATGAATGTTTTGTTCCACGATCTTTTTGTGGGGTGTGGTGCTGGTTTCATTGGAGTTTTTTATATTGGTACATGACTGAAATCAGAAGTTGTGTTATTAAATTCTATCTGAGGATTTTTGTGTGCCCTACTGCACCTACAAAATTATCTCTTGGCTATAATTGCAAGTGGGGACAAGAGGGATGCTGCCTAGTTTGAATTCAGCAAGTCTTTTGACAGTTCCCCAGTAGAATCCTTGAAGAAAGGGGGGAAGATACAGACTGGGTGGGTGAAGATACAATTCTGATATGAATGAAAGAAAGCTTTCACAGTGAGACTGGTTAAATCTCACTGGTTAAATCTCATGGATAAATGAAAAATTGACTGGACCATGCCCTGAACAACCCACTTCAGCTTTGAAGTTAATCCTGCTTTGACCAAGAGGGTGGATTATATGACCTCTGGAGATTCTTTCTAACCAATTTTTCTATGGTTTTATAAACTATGAAATTCAAGTTAATAACATCACCACACCCAGAAGGTGCTCCAAAGAATATTTTGGACATTTGTACATTCAGAGATTCTGTACACAATCCCAAATTAGAATTTAAAGTTCATGTTGAAGCCATAAAGCTCCAATTTGATTTCTGAAGTCTTTTACAGTCATCTCTTGAATTCTGATTTTATACCTGTCACTTTCAGAATAATCCAGCAAATTAGTGGAAATCTTGCTACTGCAAGAAAAGCAAACAAAGAATGGAACTGAAAAATTTTGAATCATCTGCAGTGACAACTGTAGCAGCATTTTTGAAAAATGCTGGGTAATGCCAAATTAGTCTGTACTTGCACCTGCAACCGCCATCAGTTGCTTTGCAAAAGAAAGTTTAGAGATAGTTCTTGTACCAAATACCTGTTATTCCTCTACCTTCTAACTTCCCTCTGGTCTTCAGATCCTGGGAATTTTTTCTTAAGAAAATGCCAACTCACAGAACTACTCCAAAATAAATTTTAAATAGTTTTGAAGTCAGTGCTGTCTACGCCACATGGCTATAAGTAAGTTGCTCTGCAAGTTGCAAATGAAGAGCAGGAGGGAAAAGATGCATCAAATACAATTTCTGAGCTCTGCCACAGAGAAGACAAAGCCAAGCAAAGAGGCAATGGCATGATTCAGTTACCAGTGGAGTTTACAATCACCATGAGGGATTTATCACCTGTTTTCTACTCACAGCAGCTAAAGTAGCTCAAGAAAAGAAGGGAAGGAGAACACAGGGAACATTCTTTTCAGTACAGATCATGACTGCTTTTCCCCTCTTTACACACTCAAATATATTAACTGATTCTGCACTTCTATTAAAATCCAACTACTGATCTAATGAATCTGAAAATACAAAATCATAGATGAGAAGACAAATCCCATAAAACTAAAAATTCTGATGTAAAAAAGCCCTTGAGGGAACGTCATGGCCCTTTGTTCATAAATCAGACTGCAATGCTGTTTTGCTGTACAAACAGCCAGCATTTATAAATACTGATATTTTGGTATCCATTCCTTTCTTGAGGCATTTATGCTTAAGAACTATCCTCCATATAAAGAAGAGGCTTTTAAAACCAGCAGGACACTGCTATTTTTGTGACAGCTTCAAGTAATGAATCACCAGGGATCAAGTAATAGAGCTAAGAAGGGAAATGAGCTCACAGTGAGAACTAACTTGAGACAAATGATTATTTAGGTTCTAGGAACACAAACATCACTCAGTCACAAGAAGAGACTTGTCTGGAGGTGGAAGGAGGGCTCCTGTTTGTTTTCCCACACTTACAAACAAACTGAAATCACCCTGATCTCCAAGCTGAGGACTGGACTTCACTACTCCAGATAAAATGCCTTCTAATACTTTTCAGTGAGTCATGGGATGGAGAAGAGAGGAGACGTGTGGAGAAAACAAGGCTCCAGGGTGACCTTATTGCAGCATTTCAGTACCTGAAGGGGCTCCAAGAGAGCTGGAGAGGGACTGTGGAAAGGGCTGTGGAGTAAAAGGACAAGGGGGAATGGCTGCCCACTGCCAGAGGGCAGGGTTAGATGGGATATTAGGAAGGAATTCTTGGCTGTGAGGGTGGGGAGGCCCTGGCACAGGGTGCCCAGAGAAGCTGAGGCTGCCCCATCCCTGGGAGTGCACAAGGTCAGGTTGGATGGGGCTTGGAGCAGCCTGGGACAGTGGAAAGTGTCCCATGGCAGGAGATGGAATGAGATGAGCTTTGAGTTCTCTTCCACACCAAACATTCATATTTAACTTCAAAATCCCAAGTTCTAAACACACTTGAAACCCCACAGAACTGCATTTTAGTCCCCTCTTCTACCCTACTTAATTTAAGAAATCTTAGAAAAAAGAAGAGTGTTCTTTGGGTCAAACTGAAAAAAAAATTAAATAAACTGGTGATAAGAGGGTTTTCACTTCTTACAGGAGGGACACTTAACAGAAGATGACAACAAATGATCCAGTGCAACTTGTCTTTTTAGATGGGATTTCTTACACAGGGCCTAACCTTGCTGCACAGCCAAAACTAATAGCTTTCCATCTGCTTTCTAATTCTCTTTATACCAGAAGCCTCTCCCCCATGATTAATGGAAATGCAGATTTGCAATATGCTTTAAAATAGTCCCTACAATAGCTTGATTAAAAACCTAACACACAAAGGGCAGGACAACACATTAATAAGATGCAGAAAAGAAAGTTAGTGACTAATAAAATGATTTGATATTAGAGAGAACAACTAACAGAAGAGGGTTTATGTCATTTCATACACCACTTATACACACAGAGGGAGTACCCAATAAACAGGTTCAGGTGTTTCAGATCTCTTAATTCAAACTGATAATACTGGAGCAGCCACAGACCACCTCCACAGCAGAACACAGATTCATTTGTTGATTTTAAGAGCTTAATTACTGCAATCAGAAATGCCTCATAACTAAAATAAACTCAGGTTTCATTCTGAAAGTCTTTAAGAAATAGAGAAATTTCAGGAGAGTGAATATACTCCTCATATCTCCCTGTCCACACAGACTGCTTACTGTCAAAAGAACATTAAAATGGGAAAGGACAACAGATTACACACAAAAAAGTTCAAAATGTTATTAGCAAGAAATAAAATACAATATCTAACATGATTACAAATACCTACCTATAACTGTAATAGAAACCACAATTTTTTTTCCTCTAAATGGAAACTCAAGTTTTATATGGGCTGAAAGCTGCTCAGAAATCTTTAAATGGCTTCAAGCCAAACCAACAATCACAAAACGGGGCTCTGGGCAAGAGGTCTCTTTCCTTCCCCCTTTGCCTTCTCTGGGTATTGGGGCTTACCTAATCCCTTGAAGACACAAGTCTGGGGACTAAACTGGAGGAACTATTTACTTTTCTTTACATCTAGTGAATTTTTGATGGTTTAGCTCTCTTGGTCAATTCCCTGAAGAATCAGATATGCACCAGTCCAAGGAAAGGAGTGAAAATACTGGACTGTGGCATGTGGGATAAAAGCAGACAAACAGTGTTGTGGCAGTGCTGATTTAAACAGCTTAAGTGGCCATAAATTGTACCCTAAAAGATACACATTAAATCTCTATAATTCCAACATGCCCTAATGGTATAGGCAGCTATTTCTCCTAAGTAGCTTGACATCATCTTTAAACCTCTGACATTAAAGCAAACAGCAATTAATGTTATTTGATTGCAAACTTCTCAAGCTTTTAAAGTGCTTCTATTTCACAATGCCCTTATTTATACTTAGTTCTGTCAGCTACTCAGGATCATTAAAACCAAAGAAATCTACAAAACCAAACCTCTACCAATAATAATTATGAAACTGCTGTGGAAGTTCTTTGTTAGCCAAACATTTTTTACTTTCTTACACTTTTTCCCCCTCAAACCACTGGGGTTGTTGTTTTTCTCTCTGATGGAGAGCCACAGCTCACTTACAAGGCAACATCTCCCATTCCTGTCTCAAGAAGCTACAAATGTGATTTCTAGCATGTACACAAAACTTTAATTTTCAGTAATCTGGGAATAACAGACTGAACAAAATTAAATGTTGATGTTGAGTATGTGTGATACTCAACTGCAGCTGCAAATTCACAACTTCTGCACATCAGTGGACTTCTGTAATGGAATGGAAGATAAACTCTGTAACTTCACCTAAAAGTGATTTCACAGTCTGTCCCACATGCGTTTTTCAGCAGTGATACAGGCCCTACGTGCACAAGCTCCAGTGATCATTACTTGAGGAGCAGCACAGGCCATCTTGCCATTCCTTTCTTTGAAGGAATGTGGCTGTTTAAAGAGGGCTGGCAGAACTTTCGGTCTGTATCTTCAGCCAATGGCACAAGGTTCAGTGGAAATTTTAGTAAGAAATGACCTTCCAGCAGTCATTTTTTTAGAAGTGTTTCAGAGTAAATTTATCATGCTGGTATTTTTTCCATGCGATTAGCCAATATCATGATTTCTTGAATCATTCCTTAAAAAAAGAAATATTCAAGCAGTTGTTACAAACTCAGTAAATGCTCAGAGACTTGTTGAGCTTTCTAAGACAGAAGGTGCATGCTTAGATATAGAACTTAAAAGAACCCTAATGACAAGTGAAATATTAAAATAATTGTAAAATGATTTCAGGATGAGTTAACCACTGCTGAAATACTCTGGGGCTCTACCCTGAGAATCACTTCAGTGCCAGAACAGAACATTTACCATATTCCCCAAAGCGGAGGGACTCCCACTGCTGCCATTCCACGATGCTGCTCACAGCACGGACCCCAATGTAGATTAGCAGCATTCCTAAGGTGGCATCCAGCAAGAAGTTGATAAGGTACCTGAAAGGAAAAACACAAAAGAAAACAAGGAGTCAGGAGCCATTTTCTACAGGTTTGGGATATTTTAACACCATGATTGATAGAAGTATATTGAGTAGCTAGGGTATTGAGAACAATCATTTACCCACTTCTGTAATTACACTGAGAGCAAAAATTTAAATAGTTTTAGCAGCCTCAGTATTTTTTTTCTGTCCTTAAAGATCTCAAAACTTTCCAGAAATAATTATTTTTCTAATAAGCGTTCACCAATTCTGAGTTTTAATCAACGTTGCATTAGTCAAACATTAAAATCGAGGCTGAGTGTCTGCAGAGGAACATGGGCAATCCCGAGCCTGCACGAGTCCCGCCGAGGCCACAAGAGGCTGCTGTAAGCCCGCAGCAGGAAGGCAGCAGCAGGAGCGGGGAAAACAGAGGTGCCTGCACCTATTCCACAGCCAGGGAGGGCTCCCGGCAACCCAGGGATACCCGAGGTTCCCAGGAACACCGAGATTCCCAAGCACGCCGGGCTCACCCCACGTGCTCGGCCGGGATGTGTCCTTAACCTGGCCACAGCACCAGGCAGGTCTGGACCCACTTTCAAACTCTGGAAATACTCTTCCTATGATGGATTTTGGTTAATGCTATGTGATATTTCTTCTGCTATCAAAAAGCTGTACCCTTGTCTGAGAAATTATCCAGCTCCACACTGTAATTTCTGTTATCCTGAGAATGCTGAATAACCTCACTAACTTGGTTTGTGTCATGTTACATTAAAAGTGGGATTTGAAAATAAAAATATGTAGATGCAGGAGAGAATGTCAGTAAACATGTCAGTAAACCCTTTATTTTGAAAACACAGCAAAAGGTATTTTTAATTTTAAAATACAGTAATACATTAATGTGCTTTAGCTTTGAACACTGACAATTTTTTACATCCTTTTGTTTCCTCACTTGAATATATACTTTGAGTTATAAAAATGGAATGAAAGTAATTTGCACCCACCAGTTTTTACATCAGGAAATTCTTAAACCTATAAGCAAGGAAAATCCTACAATGATGCCTGATATTGTTGAAACTGTCATAATTATAACTCAAACTTTACAGTCAACATGCTAAAATAAATGCATTTTGCCTGACAAACTGTTTTGTGGTGGGAGGAGAAAAGCAGTGTTCTTGCACATTTATACCATGTAGGAGCACAGAGGGAACCATAAAGGACTAAGGGATATAAAACTGGCTGTTACACCAACGCAAGCAAGTTCCTTGAGCTGTGTGTCTCCTTTGTTTACCCAAGAACAAGTGAGCAGATGCCATCGAAAGGAACTGGATTGGTTCTAAAAGGCAAATTACTGGGCTTTTAAAAGTAATTTCACAGCTTCTATTACCAGCAATGTGTAATGTACTTTAAGCATGAGCCTTATCAAGAGCAAACCCAAGCAACTCCCATTTGCTTCAGGAGCTCCTGTAAAGAGCCTGTTGGGGTCTTAGTCACAAAATCTTCAGGTTTAATACAGTACAGAGAAATGCTTATCTATTTAGTCACACTGCTCCAAGCGTGACATTGCAGAATTAATTTCTGTACTAACTGCCTGGCTCCTGAGCAAGATTTCCCATTTTTAACAAAATGAAAATAATACTGCAGCAGCCAATGTAAGTTTTTAGAAGCAAATACAAACACAAATGATTTATTTGCTAAATAACCCTGAAAGCAACTTCACTTTATATTACAGCCTTGCTTTGCTAGAGTGAACACAACTGGATATTCATTTCCTTTGGTCCCAGCACCTTCAGTAAACAAACTTGAACTGCAATGTGTATCCCAAGTCCTTTTTCATTCACTGGAGAGGGACAAGTAGCAAGGCTTTGCCTGTTATGTTTAAAACAGCTACACACAGTCCAGAATCCTGCCTGTCATGAACTTAAAGAGAAAAATCCTGATCCTCGATTAACTAAGTTGAAACCACAAGTTTTTTAAAGTCACTGATTTTTACCATGAAAACTCTCTTCTCAGCTTTATTTTGCCTTATCAACCACATACACCAAACTCAGCTACAGAACTTCCATAAAGACCAGTCATTCCAAAATTAAACACTCACAGTGAACAAGGGTCTTCTTCTGTAAGGTCTGATAAATAGACATTTGCAAAGTGGATGAACAACATCCCTATGGCTTGCTTGGAAGTATCTAAAAACCTGTGTAAAGTAAAAACAGTTTTTAAGACACACAAAACTGCAACACAGCCAGACATTGCAAATTTATGTTAATTAAAACTCCATCTCTATTATTAAATTTTTTTTCACCAAATGAGAACACAAGAATGATAAAAGCATCATGGTATTTAGCTTTTATTTAATAATGTTCCATTTTAAATTCTGTCCCTATTTTTTCTAACAACAACCCAAATCATATTAACTTGAAACCTACCACTGTAAATGTAAAGTCTACGGATATCCTCTTGGTATCATATGCATTACCCAAGAGCTAATCCCAACTAACTCTAGCTAAGTCTTTAATAACCTCCTGGAAACAATGAGTATCCCAGCCCTGATAGGTATTTTGGACCTTTTATGTTTATGCATTTTTAGCAAGCTTATGGCACAGACAAAAATAAAATCCTCATCATGTGCTTGTGGGCGAACAACTTAATAGTGACTAATGAGTCCTTTATCTACAGCATTTTATTTAAAAGCCAGCATATTTTTCACCTGAAAGCATGAAGTGCTTTCACTGAATTTTATCTACAGTGCAGAGCTTAGAACACACTGCAAAAGAATTCCAACCTTGACAGTATTATCTCTAAAGCAGATGATAAAGTCAGAGAGAAAACAGTTTATTACTCAGGGGGAAACTATAAACCCCCACTTAGACAGTGATTCAGTAATGACTCCAGCCCTTACCTTTTTTTTCATCATCCTTTGCACAAAATCAAAACTTTCAGTAGATGTGTTATTAAATGCAAAACATAAGAATCATAATAAGAGTGTTCTGCAGGCAGAAGTGTGTTTGTTTATACAGAAAAATAACCATTTTGCCTGTTTTGTTTCCATGTCTAAAAAGATCTAAACACTCCAAATGACATTTTATGCCTGAATTCATCCACCCTCCCTGATAACTGTCTTGAACTTCAATCTCTTCATTCACTGCATGACACAGAGAGCAGAGTGTTGGAGATGAGGCAGGAAGCCAGTGAGTTATTTATCTAATCAGTACACCATGCTATAAATAACAATACTTGAGTCCCAGAACAAGATTCTTTGCTTAAAAATTAAGGGCTATCAGTGCACTTGTCAGAATTTCAGGCTGAGGTAGACTATAGTACACAAAGATTTTGTACTTATTTTTTCAATAAAATAAAGGTCAGTGCTACTTTGAAAAGCAGCCATGTATGAGAGGAACTTAAACTACTGAAGTCTTGAACAAGTGGCAGCCTAACACTTAGACCAGTCTCAAAATTGGTACAGCTTATGTTGGCATTGCTTCAGTCCAATAACTTTTAAAATGTAACAAATACAAATACACTTTTTATACCTTATATTTCTTATGGTGATGTACTTGTATCTTTTACCATCCTGTTTTCTATTTTATACATAGTAGGATACCAACAAAAAATGGAATTTTATTTGCACCCAGATGAGATCATCTTCTAAGCTTATGCAAGATTGTTGATGTTCAGATGTATCTTAGGGCTACTTCAAGTTTTCATCTTTAGGAAGAAGTACAAATTGAAGCTTTATGCCTAAATGCACATCTCTACAGATTCCTGGAAGCATTCGGTAAGAAATGACTACCCAGGAAACACACAGAAGGTAACCTGACTCATGTATTTTGGTAACTTTTTTGGTTCGTCACTGACAGTTACCAATTTCTTGTCATCACTTTTCTTTATTTTAATCATCATACACGAACATCATCCCTTCAATTTCTACAACATGCCAGAAGAAAAGAAGTTAAGAATAAAGCATGCAGAAACTTACCATATCCTCCAGGGACGTCTTTCATGCTTTGGTTCTCTGAAGCGTTTTACTAGGAAGAAAAAAAAAATTAAAAATTGAAGACAATCAGCAACTTCCAAAGCAACAAAAATATAGAAAAGTGAAAGCAGATCATCTTGCAGAAACAGGACATCCTGCAACGAAATGGATCTTTCACTACTGCACTTTACTGTATCAAACTCCAAGGATCCATTTTTAAAGAAACTCCCTTCTGTCACCTCTAAGTTCCTAGAGCTCCATTCTCTGACTGCCAATATCCCTCACATGAAACAATAATCCACATCTGACCATTATCCCACTGGCCTGAACCTTTGTGACTGCCCATCCAGAAAATTTAATTTCCAACAGGAAAGCAGATATTAGAAAGAGCTGTTTCTTTTCCTCACTGGACACCCAAACCCAAATTGCAAAGTATTCTCATAACATGGGGCAGTCCATAATATCAGAATGAAATTAACCGAATCAGTAGCAAGACAAATGCATTTTCTGACAACATGTCTCTATTACGGTAAACTGAATTACAAAAGGAAAGAAGGACAGATATTTTTTTGGTCTGATAATCCCTTCACAGAAAGGTTGATAATTGTTAATGTATTGAAAACAAACAAACAAAATAATCAGTATTAAAATTAATGACAACTATACACAAAGGCAAAAAAGCAGGTGAGTTTGTCTCTTCAGTTTCAATGCAGTTTATTATACAAACTGTTTGGGCATCTAATAGAAAGCTCCTCTCATACCCTGCCCAGCTGCTTCCATGTACTTCCAACCCATCCCAGCTCCATCTGGAAGGCTCTAGATGACTCCTGAAGAACAAGTGTGGGAAAATAAAGGGACAAGGGCATAAAAGCAGTTGCTGATGTGCCAACAGTGGCTGGTCCGTACATTTGTTCTGTCTGGTCTGCAGTTTGTCCCATCATCTTAGGAAATTCCATTTCTAACTCCTTCTGGGAAAGAAAACCTTATTTCCTGCTAGGAACACACACTCAGCCCTTCCATGGGTCAGACCTGCAAAGGCTGTGGCAGTCTCACCTCTATCAGGTCTGGCCTCATACCCAAACACAGACTTATTCTTTGGTGCAGCTGCAAGATACTAAACCCTTACACATCCCACAGACAGACACAAGGTAATGTGAAACCTTTCCACTAAAAATGGAGTTTACATACGGGTTTTACTTCCTTCTGCCCAAATTTCAGTACCACTCACCAGTTCCCTCAATATAAGTTCTTGAAAAACAATTATTTAAACTCTTATTTCAGAAATGATCCCTTATTAAAAAAAAAAAAAATAGGCCTTGATTCCCCTCCAACTCTTCAAACTGCACAGATTCTGATTAAAGAGGCACAAACCATAGCAGGTATAGACAGGTAAAATATCAACAGTTATTTTAACCTGCTTCTCCACGTGAAATTCAGTGATGAATTTCAGTTTAATATAGGATGCCCTGTGTACATCATGCTTACCCAGCTTACAAGCCTTTAAACTACATTCTGGTTTCTGAACCAATCATAACTTATTCACAAGTAAGGCAATTTTCCCCAAAGTAAACTGTCCTCATGAAACAAATAAATCACTTCCAAGGTGGAGGGGCAACAATTTCAGGGGCCACCAAACTGCCAACCTGCCATCTCACTGTCTGTCACTGCTTCTGACAGCAGAGACAAACTGTTTCACACCCCTGAGAAATTAAAAGTGACAAGATTAAAAGACTCTACATTTAAACCAAAGATAAAGTTGTAATAGCAACATTTGCCAGCAGTTTTCTCTGTGAACAGCATGACATAAATATAAAACTTCTGTTAAAAATGAGCAACACTCAGCCAAGTTAACCAGTTTGTTATTTATGACAAGTCCTCCTCAGTCACACTAAGGATTACTTTAATTAGTGGCAGTTCTGTGTAACAATGGGAAGCCACAAAGCATCACAAAACAAATGCAAGAAACAGAAGTTTCAGCTTACTGTGGAGTTAGAGCAAGATGCTTTTCTGCAGACAAAATGGCATTACGCTGCTATGGTGTGCTTGCTTTGGGCAGGGGTGAATTCCAAGCTTAGGCTTTTGTCTGTTATTGCTATGAAATTGTGTAATGCCTCTGGATTCATTAATTTCCTTTGAAAATTCAACAAATTCATTTTGGAAGAGGATACTCAAAAGCAATTCCACTAATAGCATTTCAAATTTTATCTGTACTGAGGAACAGCCTTGATAAGGTCTGTGTTTCTCTGGCCAGTTCTAGAAACACAACATTTCATTTGAGTTAACATTAAACAGGAGGGCAAGCTTGGAAAGCCTCTGCAGTTATCTTCTGGGAATGTAACTGGCTGACCACAGCACAAACATGCATTCCCCCAAATTAAATGAGTAAAATCTTTGCAACTTTGGAGTTGCAACTTGATGAATATGTAGCAGTACATTTGAAACTCAGTAGGTCCATAAGAAAGTGCTGTTTGCCCAGCCCAGCTCCCTGCAGCAGTGTCTGTTAGCATCAGGTGTTTCTGACAGATGCAGCCACTGCCAGGTACTTCCCAACATATCCCTGGTGCAGAACTTGAGCCTTCCCAGTAACTAAACTGAGCAAAATCCCAACAGGCTGTAGACAACCCCACTTGTAAACTGAGGGTCCTCAGCATGCTCACTAGTAATACATTAATTTTGGAACCAAAAACCAGCACGCTTTTTACAGAATCTTTACTGGCACTTTCTAAGCACCTATCAAATTGGGGAGGGGAAAGTAATTTTTCCCTTTCCCCTCCCCCAGGAGCAGTCAAGATTGCTATTCCCAGTCCCAGCCCCAGTTTCTCTTGGCAGTCTCAGCACAAACTTGGGCTCGTGCGTGTGTCAGCTGACAGATGGATCTCAATCTGCCGGCTCCTGGCTGTGAGGACGCGGTGCTGCTCCATATGCTCCAGCTTGGAGCACCAGCAACCATCCACCAGAGTTAATATTAATTAACTAATAATGTTCAGAATTTCATGCTGAATTATAAATGAAGAAAGAAGCGCTGCTTGTTTATACATTCAGTGCCAGAATTTTTCAGGAAAGGAAATAAAAGCATTTCTGCCAACAAGCATGTGAGCTGCCAGATGGACAGATAACAGATAAGCATATAAGACACAGTATTGCTAATGCAAAATTCAAGTACATTGAATTGTCTTCCCACTTCATTGAAATTCTAGGAATAATTAATGCTAGAGTACTGTGGAAGGGTTTCTAACACTTACTTTAACGTGGGAGTTTTGCAATCAGAATTTCAGAAGACTCACAGGGTCTTCTCATAAGGGCCAGAACAGAGATAAGAAATGAAATAAAACCTCTCTAAGTTGTCAATATGCAAAGCAACACTTGAAATCCAGCTTTTCTTTCTCTCCTTCATCTCCTCAAGAAGTCCCACAGGAACTATTTTGCTGATGTGAAGTAACTTCAGTACAGATTCAAGAACTCCAAGTTTCTGGATGGTTGCTCTTGTAGCAGCACAAACCTGGGTCATCACACACCTTTGAAATGTTTCTACGTATCATGCACTACTGCATTTCTTAGATGCAGGTTCTGGCAGTTCTCAATAAAAGTCTTTCTGACCCCAGTAAAGATCAAAGATTTCTCTAGCTCATTAATTTAAAATTAAAAAGAAGTAAAATCAACATGTTCAGTGTCCTCTGCAGCTGCACTATGACAATACTGCTCTTCTGAGGAGAGAGTTGGGAATTTCACCTGTGTTTCCAGTGCTTCTCAAAACTTTTTCAAAGATGGGTCACAGACAAAGCATGTGACTGAGTGTTTCATTTCATAAACCTCCTATATATTTCTGCCATCAGACCTCAGCAAAGCAACAGCCGAGCTGGCCAGAGAGAAAAGGTGGAAAAGTTGGTGAGGATCACATCTGTACACCACACTCACATTTCCTCACGTGCGTGGGCAGCTTCAGCTGGGGCAGAATTGGACCCTTCTCACAAACAGCCACAAGTTGGAGCCAGGGAAATTCCAGGGTGAAAGAAATAAAAAATTTCCAGTGAGAGCAATTAAATTCTGCAACAAGTTTCCCAAAGAACATGCAGAGACTTCAGTCTGACAGACCTTGAAAATTACCCTGGAGAGTGCTCCAAGCAAGGGGACATGGGCTGGCCCTGCTCTGAGCAGGAGTTAGGAGCAGGTGACATTTGGAGTTCCTTCCAAGAAAATTTGGTATGTAAGTCTAGAACTCATTTTTCTGTGATCTGACACTTAAAAAGTTCCAAGATTTGAACCAATTATCAAAGGATCAAAGTATGGCTAACTGAAAATCACACATACGTGGAGGGACAGAATCTCACACTGAGAAATCTGCTGCAGTGCAAGCTTCCCAAATAACAGGTTTGCAACCAGACAGAGCCTCCAACACAGCCCTCACAGTGCAAGAGTGCTGGGATCTGCAGGCTACTTTGGTATTGATTCACATGATTTCCAGCATTCCTGACAAGGATTACAAATTTCCTGTACAAGGCTGTTTGCTCACTGTGTGTGGAGTAACAGCTGAAGTTACACCAAGCAGGAGCACCCGAGCTCGGAATAGGATGCAGATTTTCAGACGGCCACTCTCAAAGAATAGCACTATTTTCAGAACATTTGGATATCAGACCATATGCCTCACAAATTTGAACCTACAGTTTCTAACCCTGTAAAAAACTTGTAAAGTCAATTGCATATGCAGGCCAGATTTTTTTTAAAAAATTCTATTTAGGAAGACTTTGAAAAACACTGTTCTACTTGTTAGAATCAACACTTTTCCCACAACAGTGGGAACCATGTCTGTTCTGAACAAGTGTATGCACACTAGTAAGTCTTGAAAATGCACATGACTATGGAATGAAAACTACCAGAGAATTCCATGTTATTTGTGATCTTTATCACTAATTTGAATTTACCTCCTTTCACTGTTAAACCAAAGCCTTTAAGAGTCTTGTCTTGCCATTTCACTTTGTCCCCTTCCCTTTATTTTCTTAAGCACACAGTGAGGTAGCAGCACAGTAAGAAAAAGTAATTACATGAGATTACATAAAAGATTTCCCCCAAAATAGAATTTTTCTTTTTAGAATTAACTGTGCAAGAAACAACATGGCCAATGAGAATAGGCTACAATGATGCCTTACAGAAGATATATAGGTGTGTAAACCACGTATCACTCAATTCCCAGAGACTTTTGTGACACTTATGAGCTTGGTGTCTCCCCATACTCAGAGTTAAACAAAAAAGGAATTCTGTGTGCATCTGTTTAAAAAGAGGTAATAAATGTGATTGCAAAAAAAACACCAAAAGAACCAGTATTTTTGGTATGCTACTCATTTCTCCAGTCCCAAAAAGCACTATGCTCTTGGCAATCCAATTTTTGCCCTACTGAAAATTCTTCCTTCTATTCCTATGTCCCATTAGCTACATGCTGAAATGGAGGGTACCCTGAAAGCCTGTTGCTTATTTCCCTGCATAAGGGCCCCAGAATTCTACATCATGTTTTTGCTTAAGGACCCAGACTTTTTCACACTTGAGACACTCATAATACTAAAGCAGAAATTATATTGGACTAGAACTGATTTCCAGTGATATTGCTGCATTGGAGAAACACAGTTTCTCCATGATGAAAAGAGTTATGGAGTAACTCACTCAAGGAAAGTTATGGAATTTTTTCACTTTGTTCTAGTCAGTATTAGACTGACATACTATGAAGTGCATGAGCCCCCAGCTTTGCTGCCTGGCAAAAACGATTTTTAAATTCTGTAAGAGAGAAAACAGTATTAACCATGCAAGTACCCAACCCTTTTCTTAATGCCACTGTGCCCTCGGCCTTAATGATTCTGCAGTGTAATTAAAGAAGGTGACACAGAGAGAAACTTTATAGAAAACTGGACACAATCAAGTTTAATGACCCAGCTGGTGATTCAGGGACATGTCACACTAAAGATGCAGTGCCTGGACAGCCACAAGGTACCTGCAAACCACAGATCTTATCCCAGTCTCTGTTCCACTCACTGGCAGCAGTGATGATAATGTCCTGATTAAGGCAGCAAAACCTTTGTGGCCTGACTGGCACTTTTGTCAGAGCACAGAACAAGGGGCTCTGTTTTACTGCGAAGTTAAACACACCAGTGCCAAGCATCCATCAAGCCCAGCTATCTCATGACCTGGGCTCCTTTGTCTCAACACAGATGACATGAGATGACTAAAAAGAAAGTGTCATTTATGGAAGCACTGGATTTCACATGATTTATCAAATGGGCAGAAGTGCTTGCTGGATAAATGCTGGTGAAATACAGTAACTGAAAGTTACCTGTGTAAAAGTATTTACTTCCTACCTGCTTCCACAGTCAGCTAAAAACCTACCTGTAAATTTTGTCCCTTCAAAGGTTTCATGAGAGCAAAAACTTTACAGTCATTCTGCAGGGAATGGCTATCACAAAGTAAAGCTCCCCTTCATAGTGCAGGGGAGGAGAGGACAAATAATTTTCAGGAACAGAACCCTAAATACTGCTGTCTGAGCTTTGGAATAAATAAGATGATATAAATCAGATGATTCTGCTGCTTCAGGAAAGGCAGCCAAATGCATTACATGAGGCTGGCAAGATTTTTATTCCTAACATGTTTGTACTTTAAGCTCCAAAAAATTTTCCTAAATCCTTAGCTTGTATAGATTGGCTGTAGAAGACACAAATAAATCATATTACCTGCATACAACTCAGCCTAGAACAATTTCAGCAAGACTGGTCTTGTGCATCCTGGTAGCACATGACAGTGTGGCTCTGACACATGCATTAACTTGGCTGTCAATAAAGGAAACAAATACATCTTAGCTGAGCCAGCAGCCCAGACACACCACATCAATAGCCATTGTCATGGAGCTTTTTTCCTTTTCCTTAAAGGTAAAGCTTACTTTAAAAACAGCTAAACTAAGCAGAGGGAGAAATGCACAGAATTTCTAACTTTTGATTACTAACCTATTTGCTATCTCCCCAGAGAGAGGAGCACTTTAGAAGTCATAAAATGCATCTACAGTGCACCCTGTAAACAGAAGCATCCAGCCCTCAGCTCTCAAAAGTCATGGAAATACTAAAAATAAAGGACTGCAAGTAACTGCTTTGAGAACTCTAAGGTAAACAGCACAAGTAGCTTAGGAAATATTTATCCAAATAATAAAGTTAAAAGCCATGATTCAGTCTTAAGAGACAGGTATTTGTTATCTTTGCATTTCGCATCCACAACACTGTTGGGTTAAGGTGTGCTTTGTTTGAAAGCCATAATAAATCAGTTTCCCAGCACTTTCAGGGACAGATGCTTTTGCTATTCTGTTTCTTCAACAGGTATGAGATAGTTAAAGCAAAGCAAATCTAAGCTTCCAGTGAAAATGCCTGTGAGACTGACTTTAGAAAGTTGATACAGACCCCTCCTGCAAACACTTTTGTACTCTGAACCAGGTATCATTAAACAACTACAAATGAAAAAGCAAGGTTGCTAGAAAAACAGCTGTGCCGTTCCTGTCATGCTGTACAAGCAGCCAGCAAAGACTAAAAAATACAGTCTGCTCTGTTCAAGTGGATTTTTTCCCTGTTAGAAATCAGAACCATTTGGGAAACATGAATTATTTAGTACAAAACAAATAGAATCAATCCATATTAATGTGCACTAAGCAACAATTTACGATTCACAACACCATTTTCACGTACAGCATTCACCAGATCACTCAATAATACATGAAGCTTTCTGAACGTTATTAGTATGACAACAGATATCAATGAACTTTAAGTCATTCAAGCTGCTTGTTTTAAATCAGCTCTTGGGAATGAGCAGAACTACCAAAGCACAGCTCCAAACTCAATCACCATTCATTAAAATATTAAGCAAGGCAGAAACTGTAGCAGTTTTAAAAGCAGAAAGTAAA